CATTTTTTTTTTCTTCCTGGCATTTTAAATTTTTTTTTCTTTATTTCCCTCTCCTTTCGCTTGCTCTCCCATTGTCTTTTTTTTTTTTTCTTCTTCTAGAAGTGCCTCAAACATAAAATCAGACACTAAAAAACGTTATGGTTTACATTCCACTACTGTATGAATTCATCTCCTTTGAAGGTGTTGAAGGTGTTTATAATTATCACTGATATAATTTTAGATCTGCCCTACATGGTTAAATACTAGTATTTCAAAAACACTTCTTAATTGTTGCAGCTGATTTGGTGGCCAGCTTGCTCTAGCAGAGATAGCTCAATTCCCAGTCACACAGGCAGTTTGGTGTTGGCTGGAAGAAGAGTGTGGTGCAGGCAGATCTCTTCTAGCCCTTCCCTGTGCAGAAGCAGTGCCACAGCCCTGCCCACCCACCCATCTCTTGCTCACCTCTTGCTGCCATCCAGGATGTAAATAGTCCAAACAGGGAGAAAAGACTGCTTCAAGGATTTCCTCACCCCTTTTCCTTCTTTGTCATTGCCTTATGATATTTTATGCATTATAGGACTGTATTTCCAAGCAAAATAGCATGGGGCCCTGTTTTGTGGCTGAACACAGCGGTGTTTGGGCACTTCTGTGTGCTCTGTGTTTAGGTGATAATTATCTCTGTGTCATGTAATGAACTTCCTTCTCGTTGTGGAAGAATACTGGGAAAGTAGTTCTGGCCTCATTTCAACACAGATAAAGAAAACACCATCTTGTCCTTATTCCTCCCACAGTTTTGGTGGGTTTTGAGGTTTCCTGCAGTGAGTGCTGGATTTTGCTCCAGGAATTACTGCACTGGCTGAAAGGACTTTTCCTTTGGTGTCTGTAAACCAATGTCACACAGATAGTACTGTTGATTGCAAAGTCTTTCTATAACATTTCTTTTTGTCTTTCTTTTGCAGAACTTTGTCCGACATCACTGGGTGCACAGGCGGAGGCAGGAGGGGAAATGCAAGCAGTGTGGAAAGGTAAGACTTGCAGCACAGCCCAGGTGCGACACAGAGCACTGTGGAAATTAGGGCAGCCAGTAGGTCCTTCTAGCCACTGAATTTTTTTTCCTATCACAAACACTTGACCTATTTTAATGGCTAATGACAAGCTTGAGATGTTGAGCAATAAGAGCCCTGATTCCCATGAGGGAAGAGAAGGGCAGCTGCATCTGCAGGAATGAGCACATCTTGCATCCTGGGAGGTTGTGCTGCACTGGCTGCTGAAAATGAGGAGGAAGAAGGCTGTGGCTCCTTGAGCTTCTTTCTTTGTTAAGCTAACCTGGTACTAATATGGTGTTCTTCCAGTGCTGTCCTCTGTGCCAAATTGTGATGGCCTGTTTTTTAGGCTTCTGGGAAAAGAAAGGCTGTTGCTTTATTTCTGCCCCAGCAGATTCTAAGGTTTGTGAGACTGTTTCATGTTTGCTCTGCTGCATAGATCGTAAAAGTTTATTTCTAAAAGGCTATAAAAGCAGGAAGAAACATCTTGGCTACTGAAGACCATTATTCTGATACATTATGAGCCCCTGAAATATATTGAGAGATATTTAAAAATTAAATTAACACAGGGATTTAATTTCCTTTCTCTAGCACTACATTATACTTTTGCCTCCCTCTTACCAACTAGTAAGGAAGTCTGTATCTCATCTCCATGGCACAGCATTTAAGTTAGAAGAAAATTTGTATCTAGATTTGTATCAAGATATTTGCACGGATTGTCAGCTACCAGCTGCAATAAGACATGCAATAAAAATGTCTGTAGCATGGGAACAGTGCAGCAAGGCAGTTTGCATACACAGTTCTTACGGTATGATTTTGCCTTCTTTCTGTGCTTTTTTGGTCTAAATCTCCCCTACAGGCATTAGGAGTTGATTTTGCAATGGGAGTCCTTACTGGCTATCACACCAAATCCTATGCTGGGCATGTTCATGTGGGTAACCTTGACTGATATAGAATAGTATAATCATTAAGGCTGGAAGAGACCTTTAAGGTCCTCAAGTCCAACCATCAAATGGAGAATATGGAGAAGTTCAGAAGAAGTCTGTTTTCCCCTTAAATGGGACATATTCAGTTAAAACTAACATGAGTATATTGTAGTAGAGCTGTTCTTTGTCAAGAAACAGAAGGAATTAGAAAAAATTATAACAACAAAAATCCATTATACTTATTGGCCAAGTAGTCTGTCTTTGTGCTCTGCTATGACATTTCTTAAACATCTGAGTAAGAATCACCTTTATTATTCTCTTTTCATGCGAGAAAAGGGGAACTATCATTGAAACAGAATGATAGTAGATTTAAAGCAATAAAAGAAAGTAATTTTTGTGGAATACCTAAGGATTCTGGTTGATCTCAGTGTTGTGTCATAGTCCTATGTCATGCCTGGAATGGGATGATTAATTATTTTAATGATCATTAATAACTGTTGAAATGAAGTTTTTAGGACATACCTATCTCATGCTTCAAATCATAAGCAAGTGGATAGGAATTAATGCACCCCAATATTCTTAGCTTTGTGGTTTTATATTTTGTGTGCCATGCCTGACACTTCCTGGTGTCTGACAGTGTTCCACCTTAAATCAGAAGTGCAGTTTGGAAGAAATTTTCCTGATTTTCCTCACTTATGATGGTTCACATATGGGACAGTCTTGCAACAAATGAACTGAACTCCTTTTAGATTAAACTAAATTGAAAGTTTATTCTGATGTTAGTAATGGACATTCAGTCCACAGGACCAGACTACAGCTAGTCCAAAGTAACATTATTTGAAATTATTTGAAAATCCTTGTGTATAATGTTCTCAGTACCAGCAGAGCCTGTGCTATCACTGTTACCCATCGCTTGCTAGTGTAGATACAGCTTATATGGGCTTGTTTAGGCTTTGGTTTTCTCCTATTCTTCTTCCCAGAGGTGATTTCACTGATTTACTGCTGAAGTACTATATGGAGAAATAGGCAAAAAAAAAAAAAAGTGCAGTGTAACCAAACAATTTCTGTCTTTCTTTCAACTTGCTTGTTTTGAAACTGGAGATTGCAATAGAAGGATGGACAGATCTCGTAAAACAAAGCACCACCGAGCCCAGTGTTCAACAATGGCTTAATATGAAAAAGAATAAAATGGAGCAGGTGTTTAATTATGAAACCTCAAAACAGTCTCTTGAACCCTAAAGATTTCTGTCTCATAAATTTCCAGAAATCGTGCCTTTATGGTTATGTTATAGCCTATGATTCCAATGGGATGAAGTTCAACAAGGCCAAGTGCCGGGTCCTGCACTTTGGCCACAACAACCCCCTGCAGCGCTACAGGCTGGGCACAGAGTGGCTGGAGAGCAGCCAGACAGAAAGGGACCTGGGGGTGCTGATCGACAGGAGGCTGAACATGAGCCAGCAGTGTGCCCAGGTGGCCAAGAAGGCCAATGGCATCCTGGCCTGCATCAAGAACAGTGTGGCCAGCAGGAGCAGGGAAGTGATCCTTCCCCTGTACTCTGCGTTGGTGAGGCCACACCTTGAGTATTGTGTTCAGCTCT